CCTTTCACATTCTTTAAAAAACTTTATCTCCCGTTTTCCTTTTTTGGGGTAACCAAATTTTTTTTTTTTTTTTTTTTTTTTTTTTTTTTTTTTTTTTTTACTGAGACGTTGCTCAATGTAGCAAGAAAGAAAGTTGTTGAGTTGCCAACAGTGGGGTCACTATTGTTAATTGTGAACGTGCACACATGACTTGGAGGGACGACCAGGTCAGTCAAACCTCTCTCACCGGAGAGCAAAAGAGGACAGTGGTTGATTTTTACACATTTGCCAAGCTAGATAAAATCGGCGGATAAGATCGGCTTCATATGTAATAATTGGACGATCTCCCAAAACTAAGGAAATCATCACCAATAAATCGGTGCACCCCTAGTTCACAAACTTCAACATTGTGACTTTTAGGCATGCGTCTCGTCGCCCCTACCTGCAGGTGCTGCTTTTCTGCATCACCTCCGCCCTGTGGTAGCCTGACAACTTGCAGAAGCCATCGTTGCTGTAGACAATGGGCCAGTCCACTATCTGAGCGTTGCCCAGGACAAAGTTGGTGTCTGTTTTAAAGAGGACATGAAAGAAAATAGCAACTTTAGATGACAGGGTGCTATCAAAAGCCGTCATATCCACAATCTAAAACGATATTTTGGCTCAGGAGAAGGTCGAGACGAGCGAGTTCTGTGGAAACTCAAAGGAATTCCGACTTAAGACATGTTTGAACCAGAGTTAAACGTTAAATATGTCTTAAATCTGTTTTTGTAATTACATACAGATTTTTACGGTTCAAAAATATTTAAATGTTAATTGGTTACGACGTCTAGCTAAAGTGCGACCTCATGATTTGAATCTTTGAAAGCTGTGTGAAACATGGATTTTATTGGAAAAATGTGTTTACACAGTAACGCTTACACCATTAGTTAAAAGTAGCAAATATACTGCCTTTGAGTGCCAGAACGCTTTTAAGTGGTTGCCATTAGGGTCTCTAATTGTCTACGCCTCATTACGTTCTTCACACAGGGTAAAACTCTTGCTTCAAGAACAGAACACCATAAGATAAGCTTTTCTTTTTTCTTTCTTTTAACTTTCTCTGCAGAAAACACATACAACTCTCCTTTTGGCAAGTATTTAGGTACAAACCTAAATATTCAGATACAGATATAGTTACAGCTTCAGTCAAATGTTTGTGTTTACTTGTCAATGGGCTGAAACTTACATGAGTTTGAGTATTTTTAGTTTATTTGATTTGTTATCTGCCAAGGGTGGAAATGATCATACAACAAACAACTAAGATGAAGATGTTTCATCATGTGGACGATTAGGTAATCTTTCAATTTTACCAACATGTTTCTGCTGAGTGGAGATGATAATTTATAACATTTTGGAGTCCTGACCTAAATCTGATAAATGATTTGTTCAGAAAGCTAAAAATAAGGGTGATGGTAAAGAGCCCTTCCTACTTCAAAACCTTGAAGCTCATCGTTTAAATCTAAATCATCATCAAAAAAAAAGAAGAAATCATTCCAAAAAAAAAAGCTTGTTGGTAGTTTCATTAGGGTTTTCCTGTTGATTTTTGAGAAGCGCAAGTTATAAATAGCTTGTAATGTGTCTTTTTTTTTTTCGCTCTGTTGAGTTTTGAGAGATGCCTGTCTCACTTCCAACCACAAACAAACTTGGTTTGAATGACATTCATTTTAAATTTACATCTGCCAGGGCTGTGAGTCGTTTTGGACTTAACCGTATCCTCAAAAATGTTTTATCTTATTGCAAGTTACCACAGTAGCACATTATCAAGATTTCCAAAAGCGTCTGGCATATAATTGGCTGGATGTTGGACCACTCTTGCACAGAAATAAATAGGTTGTCATGCTGGGACAGACCTGTTTTTAAGCCTATTCCTTAACTTTTCCCTGTGAATGGTTCAACAAAGATAAACAACAACAACCATCAGTATATTTGGAAAAGTCAAGATGAGCCTTTAACTGAACCAAGTGGTCAGCATGGTGGTGGAGGCACCATGATGTGAGGCTTTTTTGATATTAGTCAAAACATTTTCTAACTTAGCTCCAAATCAACAAACAGATTCATAAATTGCGACGCAGTCAAATGTTCCTTAAAGACAATGTTACCAAAGACAGGCCTAACTTGGGCAGAGAAGTGATAAAGACACTTGGATTAATCTTTTAGAACGTTTTAAGTTATGTTGATAAAATTTATTTAACTGTTCAAGTGCATAATCATTCCACCCTGGAGAAAGAACAATTCTAGTAAATAAACTTAAAACTCGTCTTATAGTCATGCTCGTCTGTCAGAAATCCTTAAATATTTATTTATATTTCAGTTTTTAGCTATTTCTATGGGAAATATAAGAACGACGTGTAAATCTCATTTGTTACACCTACTAAAACATGTTTGTGCTATTAATTAGATTGACCAAACTTTTGTAGGAGAATAAAACATTTGCACCTAATAATTTGGCAACTTCTGGCGACATTTTAGGAAAATTTGCAGAGATAAATACTTGAAGGAAAATCAGTCTTTTTGTTTTGCAGATATCCAAAACAAAACCAAAAAACAAAAGTTAAATGTAGAATAAGGGTAGCATTTTTTTTAAAAGCAAATCAAATCAAACATTTTAAAATTAATTATCCCCATTTTCACTGATGAGATTGTGAGTTTTAGTTTGAGAGGAATCTTTTTGTAGCGTTTTGTATTGTAGGGTTGGTAAAAGGGCAGGGAAGGGAAGAAAAAAAAACTGGCCACATAAAACAGAAAACTTTCATTGACACAAAGTCACGGTAAACACAAAACAGCAACTTAAAGCATCAGCACGGTGACAGAAGATGATCCACAACACATCACATGCCTATGTGTCCTTCACAACAGCCACATGCACAAGGATCTTTGTGAGAAAACGGGGTTGGAACTGAAACACTCTCTGGCTGACTTAGTTCTGGGAAAATGCACGTCATAGAAACGACTAAAGAGCTAACAAGGCGCCTTCTACTGAATGACAGCGTTGGATACAGATACATTGATAAAGATGCTGAGATAGGGAGCACTCCATGTTAAACTTCACAGTGTACCTGTCTGTCTATGTGGCAGTGTCCAAACTGAAATGTTTGAAAAGAAAAGAAAGTTAACAGAGTACAGGGAGAAACATTTGAATGAGTGAAGAATGTCAGACACAGATGACGATCTGCAATAAACAAAAGACACACACAGCACTGGATCTTTAATCCCAACGGACTTGGCCATAATTCAGCTGTTTTCCATAAACTCACTGAACGTTTCCGGGTAAATGCGACATGTTAGCTTTATTGATATTAAGAGTGCTTGTCCACTGGTTATAATTTTTGTGGCTGATTGTCGATCTGTGGGTTTTATAAAGCGCTGACCTGTTAATCGCTGCTTTATCTGATTCTCATTAAGAACCGCAATTCACGACTTCAAAACGCTTCTTCCTGGTTCCCTGCTATGAGCGGTCAATAATTAATGGCACCAGGAGCCGAGGCTGTGTCCCACAGAGCAAGCAGTCGTTGTGAAGCAGTTTTATTTTATTTTTTTTTCCTATGTTAAAAGACACATAGAATAATTGTCAAATTGATATGCTTAAGTCTATTGAGTGTTTTCTATTAGCAATTAAAGAAGTTAGCGCAGCTAGCATCACTTAAACAGCACCTTTCAAGAGACTGTCAACCTTTTTCTTTATTTCCAAGAGGCTGACAACATTCCCAAATCCAGGATGTTCAATGACGGGCAGAATTTGGAAGCTCAAAAAGATAAAAAAAAAAAAAAAAAAAAATTACAAAAACTTGTATTTTTTTTCAGCCTCCCTGTTAGCTACTGAAAGTCTCATCTCTCTCTCAACCGGAATGAACAGCTGACATGTAGTTCTCCAACTGACAGCATCTCTCTTTCATTTTTAAACATAGTAAAGATGCTGAATGTGGGCACATTTTAGCAGTTCTCTGTAGTTGGCAACTTCCTTACCGATTTGTGTTGATGTTTTCGCCAAATCAGCTCATTGTGTCACACAAACGTCTGAAAAAACAGAATGTCTACATCTAAAGTAATCAAAATAGCACAGAGACAGACACTAACTGTCAGTATGCGTATGTAAGGCCTAAGTCAGCTAATTACAGTGTGTATATATATATATATATTCAGCCTTAACTTGACTCTGCTGGCTGCAGTTTTCCCCTGTAAGCTTTGATACAAGCTGCTTAAAAATGTGCTCAACCTACATGCCAAGCAGAAGAAATGAGAGCAAGAATCCTGACAGATGTTATAAGAGCAATTACAAGCATTAACCCATTGCAAATGTATTTTCATCCCTGTTTCTTCAACACACAAACAATGGTGCCAATAAAAACGAACGAATGACGGCAAACAGCATAACCTGCAGCACGCAGAAGATGCTGCGCAGGCTTCACGGCTTTAACTGCCAACGTTTTCTTGGCTGCTGCTTTTGACGCAACAGAACCCGGCTATTTAGTGTCGATGCGAAACAGACGCGGCAACACAAAATGAGACCGCTTTGATTAGAATCCAAATTTTACTTCTTTATTTTGCTGACAGGAAAAAGGAAAAAAAAAATGCTCTCATGAATAAAAGTACCATATTTTGTATTTAAGAAGCAGAAAATATATACAATTTCAATTTTTTTTTTTCCTTTTTTTTTTGGAAGGGAATCCATGGTGTAAAATAGCTTTACAACAATATGCAGTTTTGGGGTTAAGCAAATGTTTGCAGTCACTTTCAAAAGAAGAAAAAGTCAAACCAAACATCTATCAATCAATCAGAATTGAGGGATTTACTCTCAACTTTTGCCAGTGATCCGTGAAAAGATTAAAACTTATGTCTTGAGTCGTCAAAGCAATTCCATCATTTCATAATTTCTGTTTAATTAACACACAAACCTATGTAGTTTGATGCAACTTTCTTGGGTTCTTGGGATTATAGGTCACTAAAGATTAGTGACCTGTAATACTTCATTTTCCGTTTGATTTAAATCTAATACTTCTATATGAAAAAAGCAGCAGCACATTTTGTTCTTTTTTTATGACTTACGCCCCAGAGAAAACAACAACAACAACTAATCAGTCAAAACTGGAACAGGCAGAGAAAACCAGAAATCATCGTCAGCCGAAAAAAAAAAAAGTCTGATTGATGAGTCTGTGGCTACATGAAAACACTCTTTTCCTGGATTATTGGTCTCCATTTCCTGTCCCTTTGGCACGACACAGAAAACAGGTCGGACACGTGTAATTGTGTTATAGCTGACCTGCTGCAGATACAGCACTGATGTCGAGGGTGTGAAAAAGCTTTTTATCAGGCCGGATCCAATAAGACCCAAAGGTGTTTTAGTTTTTGTTTTTTGCAAATTAGCTATAAAAATGTATAAACTAGTTAAAAACATTCTTTTTTTCACAAACAGATATAGATGTGGACAAATTTCTTGGATCCTTGGTGGAAAATAAATTAGACTTTTGTTGCAGTCAAATAATCTGAAACTGAAGATTTAAGAAAAATCAAGACTTTGACTTGATCATGTTGGTTTAGTGGAGGGGGAAATAAATCCATCATATATTTGCAAATATTCATTTAATATAAATGTAATGCATGTCTGGAATTTGTGCTTTACTTTCAAAACTATTCTATTTGTAAAAAAGTTGAATTAAAAAAACTATACATTTCTGCTTCCTTGGTGTCTAAACATGACAGCACACACACTTCGACCCTTTTCTTCCAAGTTTCTATAGCAACAGTTAAATGGTACGTTGATTTATTTGGGAGTGAAGTCACCAAAAAGCATCTTCTGTCCTACCTTCACAAGCAGCATGTGGAGTTTTTCAAACTCTACTACAGCTCAAGATTATGAAACACTCCAAGTGAGGTTGGCATAAAACTATGAATGATAATGTGAAGAAGCGCATCCTGTCTGCTGTTAAGATACAGCGCAGAATCCATGATGCTATGGGCCTGTTTCCATTCTTTAACTCCATTGAGAGAGATTTTGTGACGAGGAATGCGCAAAGATTTTTCTTTTCTAACCTTGTTTTATCTTCTACGAAAAGTGCTTTCCTTTTTCAGAGAGTGTTTTGCGTACACATAAAAAAAAATCAATGTAAAGGTGCCAACCAATTCATCCACATCTGCATGCTGCTCTAAAAGTCCATGTCTGAGTTTACAGGAAGTCGTTCACTTATCATTTCTGTTATTTGTGAGCTACAGTCCAAAAATCTCCGTAGAGCCAAAGATCTGTAGCCATTTTTAATTAATGGTAAGAGACAAACTACTGGCCAGGAATGTAAAAAATCAATATGTCTAGACAATTGTGAGGAGTTGCTTATTTAGCAGCAAAAGGTTACATAAAAGGACGAGTTCCTTCATTGTTTATGAGCTCCCACCCACCACTGTCCCGGTGGCATCCTGCAGATTTAAAGATCTATGTTTTTTTTCTTCTTCTTCTTCTTCTTCTTCGTTGGTTTGTTTGTAGCAATAAACTGCTTACTAATCAATAACGACAATAACCACAAGGTCATAAGAATGGATTTTTTTCTTTTTCTTAAAGTTTGGATTTATCTTTTTAATATTTGGTAAGATGTCTGTTTTCTGCCATCGTACGTTTTAATGCAGACGTCTTTTTAAATGAAGGGTTTGCTTTTGACGAAATGATAATTTCCTCTGACAGAAAAAGCTGTGACCATGGGATATGTGCACCCCGTACATACATGTACATACATACATACATGTACATACATACATACATGTACATACATACATACATGTACATACATACATACATGTACATACACACATCGTGGCTCGCACCCAAAACCACACTATCATCCCTGCTTTGGTTTCACAGATCACTGCTCAGTGTTACACCTCTCCAGCTCACACTGCCACTTTCTATTTCATCTAATAAAGGCCAAAGGGTGACAGGAAACAATGCACAGAGCTTCCAATTTTCATAATACACCTCTGTGTCCAGTGTGATGGATTATCTATTTTCTATCAGGAAATAAAAAAACAAAAAAAAACTTGATTTTTCTTTCTTTCTTTCAAGCTATAAATGGATAAAAAAAATCACCCTTCTGTTTTAGAGGTTTTTTTTTTTTAATTTATGCTTTGTGAATAAAACTTTGATTACCATGATGAGGGTTTAGTCTGAATGTGTTTTATCCTTAAACAAAGTCTGTAATTGCTTGTTTAATCACGGCCCTGTGTTCCACTTTGACAATCAGCAGCATTCTACAAAAAACACAGTTTTTTTTTTTTTTTTGTTGTTTTTTGTTCTGCCTGGGTGAGCAGAATCTGTTGTTTAGTTAAAGCTGGATGTTAAATCCTCTTAACAGCTTGAGGCATTTGCAACAAGGGCTTAAGTTGAGTTTCAAACTGCACCCTGGATGATGATGGTGATGATGCCCCCTCCCTCCCCTCCTCCTACTCCTCCCCAAAACACCAGGAATGACAATGAGCTCTATGGCAGTTCTGCATCTTTCTGCATGTAACAAGAAAATCAGCATCTTTTAAGGTTTTCCTCTCGCTCGTGGAAATCCCTCTCCGTCCTTATCTGGTCCATACGTTTCTCAGCGGAGACTTGCACTGGTCTTATGTAATCAATGTAATGATTTCAGTGACCTGCTGTCTCTGCTCTCTGCTTGCACTGCAGGGACTAAAACTGATGCTTAAAAATAAATAAATAAATAAATAAATATAATAATAATCTGATCATTCTGAAATTATATTATTACATTAACAAGAGCTAGACACACTTCAGTAGTTTTCTCTTATAACTTTCCCCCCTCCTTTTTTAAAATAAAGACATTTTGGATTATGTGCAACTAAGTAGCCTCCTGTTTCCCGTCGTTGTGTGTTTATTTGATGCTGTCTAACAATTTCTGGCTACACTGAGACATTTGCTAAACTGTTCACACCTTACAGGTTAGTCTACCGTCATAGTGATCATCATCCTTACCGTTCGACCGTCTCACAATATTCTCCAAAAAAGTATTCTGGGGGGCCACAAGTCCCCTCCGCCCCCCCGCCATGCTGCGGCTTCACTCAGTCCTCTGCAGATGGAAATGTACCCCTCAGTGCCTCGCTGCTCTTCATGCTTTCTCCTGTGTGCTTCTTTCTTTCTTTCTTTCTTTCTTTCTTTCTTTCTTTCTTTCTTTTATTGAAGGAGCTGCGTGCGTTTCGCGGACAGGAGCTGTCTGCTCTGCTTCGTTAGCCTCCTCCTCCACCTCCACCTTTTCCTCCTCCTCAGCCCGGTGGGATGCGTTGGCGCCTCACGCACCGCCTCATCATGCAGGAGTGGAAAACAAGACCGGGACGCACCGCACTGCACTGTGCAGGAGGGGCAAGCCTGCGAGCCGAGCCTGGGAGGTCCAGGAGCGCCATCTGCCGAATCTGCAAAACAATAAAAAATATTTACACCTCTAAATGTTTATTATTATTATTATTATTATTATTATTATTATTATTATTATTATTATTATTATTATTATTATTATTATTATTTACAACCACAAGCTTCAATATATTTTATTGAGATGTAGTGAAAGTAATTTAAATATGTTGAAATAAATGAATGTGTTTGTCCTCTTTGTGCAAGTAAAATTCTGTAAAGTGTGGAGTGCATTTTGTATTTAGCCCCTTTTGTTGTGAGTCGCTCTGTTTCTTTCACAGCTCACCTAATTTCAGTTCTGCTCATTAATTAATATCAAAACAAATACAGTTGCTCTAGCTGTGACTCTATTACCCAGGGCAGCATTCAAAAGAAGTTGTAACATTAGCTAACGCTATAAGCGTTTCAGTGCTTGTCCTCATTCAAATAAATATTAAACAAACAAGTAAACATCCAGCTGTTTTTTGTTTCTGGACACTTGCCCAGGGCACAATTCAAAAGGGGATGGCCCGATCACAATGAAAAATATATAACCTACTGCCTAATGTTTTAATGCGAATGATGTGACTATGAATTTTTCAGAATGCGAACAATACCTGACTGCCAAAAAACGAAGTTTTCATTGAATATGAATGTCTATGATTTTGATTTCCCTTATTTTTTAAAAGGGAAACCCGGTTTCCAAATGTAAATTATGAAGATACAAATTTATTTAAGTATAAATCAAAGTTTTAGCATTAACTAGCATGTACAGCAAATATTGCACATGCTAGTTATGGCCGTCATGACAGGAGGCTAAACGGGGCACCAAAGAGGGTAACTGGTACAAAACCAAGGAGATCCTTTTGAAGGGGGTCGACTGGATTCTCAATGAGATCAAGTTTGCCTTGTTGCTGAAAATGTGCTATATAAATAAAATTACCTTACCATACCTTATGATTGTTTCTTCAGAAATCTAAGTGATTCCAGATATTAATTATAAGAACATTAATTATAAGTGAAGTAATTCAAAGAAAAGCTGATCCTTAAACATTTTTCAGTTTATACAGTTAATATAAACAATTTTTTTTATGTAATATTTGATTTGACCTCTTTCTGTACACCGACACATTTTACTTCAGAATGTAAAGTGTGCTACCAATGATTTTACATTGTATGATTGTTTTCACTCACTTTTTATAAAACACACTTTGACAGAAGTCCATGTAAGCAGCGTGACCCTTGCAATGGAAGTCAAAATAAAGCTAACTAGGTTACCGAGTATGTCCATATAAAGGTAAGTTGTACTTCAAATCAATGTTTGCCTTGTTTGGCGTTCACTTGCAGTCGGTCCTTAAATGGCAACAAGCGTGACCTGAATTACAAGCTCTTTCCTTATATTGCAGTTCTCACACGAAGGCAAGGCTTTATCACACGCGCCGTTTATCTCGTGCCATAAAAGCTGTTTTAGCACAGCAATGTGTTTAAAAATTATAAAATTCACTGGTTCAGATTCCAATCAACGCATACACTCTGGTCTGGATGAAAATGAAAACCCTACGATTTAAAAGTAAATTAGTCAATTTTTATAGTTATATAATTGAGACTGAGCTAAATAATTTCTCAAATGGTTCCAAAATACTTGAACTTGATCTTTAAAGATGATGGCTGAATGAATGCAACTGAACTTTTATTTATTTTTAAATAAAGACTAAAATACAAATGACTTATGTTGGGCAGTTTTAATATATAGAGGACAAATTACAAACTAACCTGTGACATAATTTTTTTATTACTACAATCACACACGAGCAGTATCGTAGACAGACAACATCTTTTACATCTTTTCAGACGAAATAGCCCGATTGACATCAATCAGGAAACAAACATTTTGTTGAGAAAACCAGTCTTTGCGTCTAAAAAGAATGAAAAAATCGGCCGCCGGCATTAACTCGACCATGTCTTGGTGATCCTCAGATGACTCAGGTGATCCGTTATGCGTTTGTGTTCGGGAAAGTTGGCGAAGTTGGCCGCCTTGATCTGCAGCCAGGTTTGGGCCCTGCGCTCGGCGGCGTGGCCGACCTCCTGCTCCTTCGTCAGGTACGGCCGGCTGAGCCAGTACTCGTTCTCAGCCTCGCGCTCCAGGTGGTTCACCATCTTGCTTTTCATCTGCCACGTGATCTGCCGCGGGCGGCGGTGCTTCCCGATCCACTGCTTCCCGGGGATACCTTTGCGCAGCAGCATGAGGGTGAGGAACATGGCGGCAGATTATCCGACCTGGAACGACGAGAGCCGTTAAAAACATTTGAAAACAATTTCACATTATTGGTTTGGACTACTTTAACTGGTTGAATTGTTTTTTCTTTTCCTCTGCTGCTCCTTTGAAATCAGTATTTTTGAAATTATTATGTAGTTTAGCAGTACACTACATATAACTGCTGCAATAAAGCAGGTTATTCAATAATTGGCAAGCAGTCCAAATCAGAGGAAGCAATGCAAGCACAAGAAAAAAACTACAAAATATAAATACAAATATTATTTAATGCTAATCATCTTGCTGCTGTACAACATTCAGTACTTTGATATTCATAATACTATAAGACACTTTGAAGCCTCTTAGACTTAAAAGAACACACTGGAGTTAGATTAATGATCCTTATGTCTCGTCAGACTTACTGCTGAATTGTACTAATTTTATGCCAGTCTTGACTTATTTTGCATCAGTTCTTAGGTTTAGGACACTTGAAGCATGTTCCAAGTAATAGGGGTAAATTCGGTGAACCTTGATTCGACATGTGTTTCATTCTGTTGGAAATAACCAGGACAAATGACACACAGAGCTTCACTGTCGACACTGTCTTAATTTTAGTAATATATTTCTTTGCATGCATTTTATATAATCGGCGTATATTTCATATGTCGCACAATTTAAGAAAAGTACCTCTTCTGCTATTTTTGTCTTTCTTAATGGCAATTTTAATTTATGTGGGACTGAGTGGGAGCATGCTCCATTTTGTTGTGCCTCCCAGGATAATGAAAATAAGGTCTATTCTCTGTAATAAGAATAAGTTTAATGGAAAGATAGGCGTGCACAAATTTTACCAACATAGTATGACAGTTTCATTTGCTGCCTGAAGCTTCATCAAAACTTATCTAGCCATCACTACTTTCTGATTTTGGAGTTTAGTATTTGTTTTACTGATGTTAACATATTACACATATTAATTGTTCAAACTAGAGCTGAATAGTAGCACTGTTTCTTATTATTGAGACAAAAAAATTATATAACAAACCTCACGTCAAAAGTCTCACTCTCAATGCAATAAATTAGCTCATTTATTATTTTACTAAAAGCTGCCCTTTGCACACTGAGTCACAATGATGACCATTTTACAACAGGAAGATAGCGTGGTTAAAAAAATTCGACTTTATCTTTGTGTGTTTAGGAGGGTTATTGTGGGAAAGGGCAGAAGATGGGAAGAAATAAAATATTTACGCAGCTCGCACAGTTTTGTATGAAGTTTCGCATAAAACTAATGCAAAACAGAGCTGGACAAAGCAGCTTTAGCATTTTAACACTCTGTCTAAAGCTACAAGCTAAAGCTGAATTAGCAGCAACAAGGACAAACTAAAACAGAATCATTTAAAACTTAAAACAGAAACCAAACTGTAAGAGACAATTGTGTTATTTCCCCCCACCTTTAACAAGAGTTGAATACAGTCAAATCTTCGACATTGAGGTAGAAACACGGCCAGAATTAAATAAGACAAGTCAACATCCAAAATGTGACAGCTAGCTAGCTTCAGGGGTCATTTGTAATATTTCCGGAGCAGCGGCGTGTCGCTGGAAGCCGAGTCGGCTCGATGTGTTGATTCATTCAAGTGAACGACGAAGAGAATGCATTGTTCAAATAAATATTACTTTTCACATGATTAACTCGAAAATTGTTTTGTATACATTTGTCTATATAAATATACCAAAACTTTATTTTTAAAAAAGCAATAAATGACAGAGTCACTTGGGAACCGAAATAATCGGCTCTTTTTCTAGTGAGCCGAGATAAATGATTCCGATCTATAAAAAAAGAGCCTAAATTCCCATTTCGGTTCGGCGCAGGAGAAGATTCAAACACAAATTTAAAAAAAGAAAGGAAAATAAACTCTTTTTTTTTTTTTTTTTTTTTTTTTT